TATTTTGTGTAATTTTGTGTATGTATTTAAAAAATTAAATAACGTGAAGTATTGAGTTAGATACCACAACCAAATTTTAGACAGAAAACATGAAGTGTTGCGTACAGTAATACACATCTATCTCATATGAAATATAAATAATCGTATCAAAGCCTTTATTTTATAACAGAATTATATGGCAAGATTTACTATATTCATACTTGTGTATCTAAACAAACAAATGATTGTGATTATTGTTTGGTAATTAATTTAATTGACCTAGAATGTTAAATAAAGTCAAGTCAGCTTTATTTCTACAGTGCTTTATACAATACAGATCGTGTCGAAGCAGCTTTACAGTGTTAAAACGTGTGCTGATACTGCAAGAGCACAATAGAAAACAGTCAGTTTTTCAGCTAAAGTCAGTTCATTGATGATTCAGTGATGTCATCAGCACTCTTCCAATAGTTTCTGTGCAATCAAGTCAGAAATTAAGCGTCCCCTACTAAGCAAGTCAAAGGCAACAGTGGCAAGGAGCCAAAACTAAACAATAATTGAATATATTTAATATATGGTGACTTAATAAAACATGTCGATGTTTTATTTAAAAAAATAAGGCTACTGCTACATTATTACAAAAAATACTGTTGTATTATTGCAGGTATTGTTCATTTAATGCATGTGTGTGCGCGCCAGAACGGTCAGAAACGGCTCTGACAACAGAAGCACAATACAGCGAGCAAAGCACACACTGACGCCACACGCGTGTCAAAGATCTGTTAAATAACTACAGCTGTGCTCCTACAGCACACTAACTAAACTCACTTGGGTTCCAGAGTCTCAAAACATTCACTCAATCAGTTCTGTTCCACTAATACGACTGTCAAACTAATGTTTAGCTGAACGAGCGAGTGTTAGCGTCGAGTAGCATCTGCTGACCTGCGTGACTCTGCTGATCCTGCGCTGGAGCTCGTCCTCCGTCACGCTGCCTGCGATCACCTCCAGAGGAACGCCGTTCTCTCCGATGAAGAAGCTGGACGGGATGCACACCACCGGATCTGGACCGGCTCAGAGTTAAAGACACAATCTGATCTACACTAAACCCTTCTGAACACTATAAACACTTCCTTCAGACTGTGTGCCTAAAGCTATCGGTGTTTAGATTAAAAAAAAGAGCGCTAAAAATGTAACAACTAAATGAAAAATGTGATTATATAAATTAAAATAAACAACTGATATAAATAAATAAATACATCTAACAGTATAGTGAATACTATAGTGAATGGATAAGAATGAGAATGATTGTCCATGGCATCTGAAAGATTAAAACCCCTGTTATATAAAGCAGGCAGTGTGTTATTCCACATACAGGCATGAGTGAGTGTAATTTAGGTGCATCTCTTGCACCCTCAGAGCATCACAGTCAACATTCCTCCTCAGAACAGCAGCAAAGGATACAGATCTGAGAGAACTGGACACACGCTTCACTGCAGGAACAAGAGAGACGCACACATACACTCACACGCACACACACACACACTCATACTCTCACACACACTCATACTCACACACACACTCATACTCGCACGCACTCACTCACACACACGCACTCGCGCACACGTACTCGCGCACTCGCACTCGCGCACTCACACGCACACACACACTCGCATTCACACACTCATACTCACTCACACACACTCGCCGCACACACACACACTCACTCGCACACACACACTCACTCGCACACACAGACACACTCACAGACACACTCACACACAGAGACCCACTCACACACAGACACACACTCACGCTCGCACGCACGCACGCACGCACACTCACACTCTCATTCGCACACACTCACTCGCACACACACTCACTCGCTCGCGGACACACACACACACGCACACACACTCCCTCACACAC